TGCATCGCTGCAGCTCCAGAAACCTGCACAATGCTTAGCTTGGGAAGCACTCAACAAACACCCACGATAAATGAATGCCTGAATAAATACTGCGGTGAGACCGGGCTTCTATGACACAGAAAATTGGTAAGAAACTAAATTCAGATTGGACACAAACATCTTTGCTGTAAAACTATATTTCAGAAGAAAATCAAAAATAATGTACAGAATTGAGGGAAAGCATGGTGGTATAAAATTTCATCATTAGCTAATCTGTCATTCACCTGTGTAAACACAATATAAAAGATATGTTGCAAAATTCAAGGGCTTTTTCTACTCCTTTCGAAAAAATTTCTTGAAGTAATTCCCAGAAGGTTAAAAACAATCATTCAGATCATGAACTCAAGAATGGGATCAAGAATCAGAATAAAAGGGCTGGGAGTGATCCTAGTTTTAAAAAACCAAGTTTAAGCATTGTAGTCTGATTCATAAATGTCAACAATTACTTATAAGATATACTACTTTTATGGCATATGAATTAAGAAATAAAATCCTTTGGAAATTGGAAATAAAACTTAAGGTCATATTAGTAAAAATCAGAAACTGAAAAAAATAAAGAAAAAAAGGAAATGAAAATACGCTAAATTCCTTATCAAATGCTGGGAGTGAAAAATGTACATTAAATATTTTACTTGAAAACCTTCAGTTTTGTTTTAAACTTCTATTTTTCTCAGTTCTTTTTTATTTATAGTCTTTTACTATATTAGCTAGTTTTTATTTGCCTTTACCTTCCCCAATGAGTAGGGAAAAAACACAGAAAGTAAAAAAAAAAATGATATACACAATTCTTTGTTATTTAGGGAGAATCCTGACCCTTACTCCCTGATCTCCTTCCATCAAAGGCACTTACATGTCCACCCCAGCTCTGGAGCTAACTATCTATAAAGGTTTACAGGTTCATGTGGGCAACATCATACAGACACTGCAGGTGTCAGACAGAAACAACAGTCTTGCTTGATCTCATTCTCACCCAAACTCATCAGCTTTGGTGAGGGAAACTGTGTTAGTGGATAATTGTTTAGGAAACTTGCAGTTTATGCTTTCTGTAAGATATTCCAAAATCTACTTGTGAATTAAGTAGACTTCAGAGACTGAGTGTACAGACCATCTTAAATGGTACCTACAGGACTAGTTCTGATGAATTAAACTTTCATGGTCATTAACTCTATGGAGGGAAGCCATTAGAAATCACTGTAAAACTCTTCATTGGTTATAATGTAAGGATAGTGCAGATAAAGCAGAGTAAACTGTTCTGCTATACAAATCTTCAGAAATACTGAGACAGACATTTTCATATGTGATAATTAATATTATCGTTATATTATGATTAACACAACTTTACAAAATTACAGTTATAATACAAGTATAAAAATATACTACTATATAATAATTTATACTATAAAATAAATAAGTATAAATTATGCAATAAAACCATAGTATATCATAAATATGTATCTTATGATAAAATCTAATGGTTAGTATCATTCGTGCATAGCTAAATTTATTTC